TCAGTAAATACAATATACCATCTTACAACCTGGCCTTTGTTCTCGTATTGGAGAACATGAAGGCGAATAGTGTAAAGTGGAACATCAAAACTTTTCCTCAATCTGCAATAGGGAATGACTAATGAACCATGTCTTATTCATTTCTTTTTTCTATTATTCTCAAAGGGAATCGTTGCGATGTCGTTCGGTGCGACTAGATGTGCAAACAAAAATGATAACTGATTTCCCGAAAAAATGCAAAACTGTGATCCAAGAACTATGTTTATATTGAGGGACTTAAAGCATACTGAGCAAGGTTTCCCAAATGCTAACAGATATGCACTTTCAATCACATTGGCCAAATACGTGCGCAAGGAATTATTATGACTAAGAACTGAGGTATACAAGAAACACTATCATATGCTCTTTAAAATAGTAGGGATTATTGAGGTTATGTGCTTACTTTATCCATCTCCCAATCCGTCAATCCTTCTCTAAATGGTTTCAAGAGAAATTTACTCGTACCATTCTTAATACGAATGCAAAAAACCGCAGAGAAGTTTGAACAGAGAGTTGTGGTGTTTATCAACCTGGCAAAATGACACCGCGCTTGTCATAGATAAGAAGAGTCTGATAAGAAGTCCATAAACACTGTGGTCTTTTAGAAAACAAAACAATCAGGTAAATGGGCTACACCTGCAATACAGAGATTTCATCAATTAGGCATATGTCCCACTTTCCAAGGGATTTAATTGCATTTCAGTAGTATTACTCATCCAATGTCCGGAAAAGCCCGTTTAGTCAGCATCGCTATAAAATGGTCAGACCAGGCCAGTCTTTTGACCACCTCAATCAAAAATAGCCATAAAATGTTTAAGTTCTGATGCCCCTTTGATAAAGACTCTGCTGTTGCCAATTATCTTTCCATAGAGTAGATGTTCTCCGATGAGTGTCAGCAGGTGAACTTTTCTTCAAGAGGTAAGCAAGGTAAGCTACGATAAAGTACTTCGATATAATTCAAAGTGTAAAGTAAGATGTAAAGCGAATTGCAAATAAATGTCAATATTGAAATCAACCTAAATCAAAAAAATAATACATAAATTTATTAAATAGTCTATATTTAGATTACTTGCTTCAAACCCCCTTTGCATTAACCTTCGCTGAATATTTTTTCCTTTGACAGTGAAAAGCACTTTTAAACTCACTCTGAAGAGTAGTTCAAAATAACGTTGCGCTTAAAAATTGAGTACTTTGCATTGGCGTTGAAGGGTTCCTACAGAATTTAATGTAGTCCTGATAAACGACTGCTTTACTAACTTCTAACGGTATTCAAAGTTATGGAAGAAAATTGTAGATTTGGGCAATTTTCTATTTTTACTCGGGAAATAGCATTCTATAATTCTACTAGTTTTACAAATAAGATGTGGTAAGTATATTGTTTCGAATCGTTTCAAGTGGCATTAATTTACATAGGGGATGTGAGTTATTGTTCTGATTGTACAGGTATGATTCACACTGTCTCATTACTGAACAACCAAAGGTTGTGAGGAGAGAAACATCAAAATGAGAAAAATTCGAAAGGGGGTGGGGGGTGGGGAACAGAAGAGTATTTCTCAGATGTAAGAGACAGACAGGCACAAAGGTAGAAAAAAGGTGAGGAGAATACTGTGGAAGTTGTCGAATATGACATACAGTGGGGTGATGGTAGTTTGAAGTTGTCGAATATGACATACAGTGGGGTGATGGTAGTTTGAAGTCGAAAGTCAATTGTCGGTTTATAGACTCATTTGCCGTATGAGTATACATTGCCCAGGGTGCACCAAGTGGAGGTAAGTCTCTCGCACACCCCACTTTTACAATTAATAAAATGAAGGAAACTTTACCTTAAAATGTACGTACATTTTGCCTACCCAAATCTGACCTCATGAGTTGGCGTGCTAAAGAATGACCCCAGAGTGGCCAGATTTCTTTTATTCAGGCAAATCTTTAAGGCCACTACTACATCGTCTTTGCAGGTTTTACACAGCACTAAAAGCTATCTTTAAACCTCCTGCGCCTTTAATTTATTTTGCAACTTTTGCACAATTTTGTGGAATCATTTAATATTTCTGTTAAGACCTTTCATGCTGACCATCTTTATTAAGATATTCGAGATATTCATGAATAATTAGGTCTTAGAAGAATGCCAAAAGAACACTACTTCATTCTGAAACTTGAATTTAGCCGATTTTTTAGGTGTTTTAATTGCTTCATGCCTTAACAAGTCCTAGTAAGGACTATTTTTCATGACCCGATCATCTGAGATTACTAACCCATCGTTGAGTCTAGGAAATTGGTCATGCAAACTCGATACGCCCTTCCCTAAATAGCCATTTTCTATTTAATGACGGCAAACCAAAGCGAAGTAACATCTTTTACACAAAGCAGCTATTGAAACCTTTAAATTCAAATCTGAATTAATTAAATTTCACTTCAACTCCTTCAAATAGACTTAAACGTTTTTTATTCGGATGCCTTAATTAATCGTCATTCCATAAGAACACTATTGAATTCAAAAATTTTCCGCTGTATAACTAAGCGCATCAACGTATTATTTTGCTTTTATCTTGCACTTTCGATTAAATAAGTGCATCGGGAATAAAAATGAGTCATGCTCCTAGAATCAAAGTGCTTATTGAAGTACTACCCAAACGAACCACAAAGGAATACTACTTACAGCTCTATTCCCTTATGTTTCTGTCTATTGACTCCCAATAATAATCTTCCCTGCTATAATATGGGAATGTACTTTCCAAATCTCCCACTGAGAGGATGGAACTCTCCCCAATAGGTAAGGACAAATTAGAAAAAGGAAGAGAATTCAATTTTATTTGCTGAACAATGCATAAATAGACGCGGAGTTAATGTAGTTTGTTGTGTTTTGATGGAGGAAAAGTAAATTTGTGTTGGAAATAGGAAGAAGAATAGCAGGGAAGAAACTAGTAAACTAAACAATTTCAAATATTCACAATCGCTCTTAGGTAGCGGACTCTGTAAGGTTATCACCCCACAGTACTGAGAAGTACAATACTACTGAAACAGACAAATGTTCATTAATGCTTAGAAAATCACACATTTAGAATTGCAGCGACTTTGGTGAGGAAATATGGAACTGGATAGGATATGTGCGATGTTCCTATTCTAAAACAAGACCCCAGATTTGCCGAAAACATACTTAAATCACAATGTTACCTTATTGGATTCGAATTCCGATTTTCTTCAACTTATTAACTTTAAAGCACATTGAAGGAAAGTGTTTTCAAATACTCCTCAAGAATTCATTATCTACGGGTAAGAACTTCGCTCCTCCAATTTCGATTTACTCTCCCATCCATTAATCCTTGTTGCAGGATTCCTAATTTTTTACCGATGTGCAAGCACCATTTTCTCAAAGTAAAAATTAGTACAGGACTGATTCTGGGCCACAGATATAAAAACGACAATGAGGTTGTCGCTTGCTGTCACATATCAATGGAGTTTGCTAAATGTTATTGGAATGTGCTATAGACTTACCTCCACGTGGTACACCCTGCGCAACGTATACTCAAACCTCAAATAAAGCCTATTAACCGGCAGTTAACTTCACACTTCAATCATAGCCTACTGCAAGTCATATTCGACCCCTACCACAGTACTCATCTTACTTTTCTCTGACTTTGTGACTGTGTCTCTTACATCAGTGAATCACTCTTCTGGTCTTGTTCTCGTTTTGATGTTCCTCCCCTCTGTGAAGTCCAAAGTCAAGTAAAGGACTAATGGTAACTATTAAAACGCCTGCAAATCGAAATAACTTAAGTATTATTTACTAAAGTTAATGACTTATGGCAAATAAAGCCATTTCGCTCTCAAACTAATGCCAATTTGAATTTGCGTTAAAGTGATTCAAGGTAGGTATGCTTCAAGATAAGCAATTTATCCATTTGCATGCAAATCATATGAGGCTTTCGTAAGTTCCACTTTCGATTACCTATTCAAAAATGTAGCGGATTAAGTTCCACATTTCATAGGAGTTTTGTAATAGACTATTTTTTGACTTTGAACCCCGCATTTAACTTGTATACTTAATCACTCATTTAACTAAACTAGCAGTGATTCTTATCGAATCCATGACCATTGTTGGCCTTTTTATCCAGTTACAAACTATTCAGACTCATGTATTTGGAAGGCCTCAGGATGAAGAAGCAAGACTCATAGCTTAAATATGGGTCACCTACATGGTAATTAGACATGGGAAAACTGATTGGCGGACGGAATAACGAATATCGGAAGCGGTGACTTTCCATATCAAGGTAGGAACATGAATTCCATCAATCGATAGTTCAGTGTTGGAGAGACGACTTTACGAATGCACGTCACCACCATTTGATTTAGAGACTATCCCACTAAAAGCAGACATTGTTAAGTTCCTTCACGAACGCACAATGAATAAACTATTACTTTAAATTCCCAATGCCAATTTGAATAGCAAGTAAAGCCCTGTTTTGTTGAGTTCCAAAAACCCTGAAAAAGATACAATTTTACTGATTTCTTTAAACAATATTGAACTCTTTAATAACTTTTAATGGCGCAATTAGCAGTTCAAGAATATTTTAACCTAAAACAGAACCCTTGCATTACAAATATTACCTGCTTATAGTAAAGTCACATTATTTCAACTAAAACGAATAACCATTGTAATCGCATGTTCTACACTTCTTGCTGATCCTAAGTAGATGTCCAACTAGGTTAATAAATAACAAGAACCTTAAACTCACATACATGAGAACAAATCACAACCAATCCCATTACAATGGATGGATCAAAAAAGTATACATCGACTTAGCACATTTATTCCGAGAGCTTGACCATTGAATGAGCACAAAGACGGAAATTTAAGGGGGAAGAGAAAGGAGGTAGGAAGAAGGAACTACTCGGATATGGGAGAATTAGAAGACTTATAACAGTGTAAAAAGAACTTAGTCTACCGGGCGAAACACAGCTCTCTACTGCTGATGGTCGGGCCAATCATATTCATCCGGAGTAAAGTCAGCGTAGCATGGATCGTAGGCCGACTCTTGAATGAATTGGTGAATGTCAGCTGGTTGGGGATGGTATTGAGCAGTACCATTGGCAAAAGCTTTGGTGACCAATTCCACAGCAACTTTGTCAGCAACTTCACGAAGTTTCATAACCGGTGGTAAGGTCCTGCCAACGGCCAAATCTTCCTCAGTTACCATGTTGGCAACGGTCTTAGCAGCAGTGAGGAAAAGGTCTTGGGTAAGTGGGCGAATAAGAGCCGAGGTTACGGCCATGGCGACACCAGGGAAAACATAAGAGTTATTGCCTTGGCTGGGGAAGAATTCTTTACCCGATGGCAAATGAATATTCGGGAATGGTGAACCGCTTACAAAAATGCAACGGCACTGAGAAGGTAAATAAATTTTACGGTCAGTAACCAACATACTACTTTAGGAGATTAAGTAGATATCGAGTGTTTACCTCGGTTGACTTAAAAGCGGTTTCAGCTGTGCACTCCGATTTTTCAGTAGGATTACTGAGGGCAAAGATGATGGGCCTCTTGTTAATTGTGGCCATCATGTTGCAAACTTCACGTGTGAAGGCTCGTGGCATAGCCGCAGCCCCTAAAATATTGAGAAGGATATTACTCTTAAACAGATTAAAGTAGCATGATGTTATGAAATCATAACTCAACAAGTGATGAAAACCAGTTACTAAGATTTAGATAAACGTAACCTACCAATAAGAACGCTTGGTTTGATTTGAGTAACAGCATCCACCAACCTATCAACAGGTCCGCAATCATCACGGGCGAACGTTTGCTTGTGTGGTTCCTGAACACCCCCTGGACGGCTCTATCAAAGCACAATATAGATATGCTCAACAATAAATGTATTAGGCGAATCCAGTGAAGCAATAAAAAATTCTCGATTTTTTGTGAAAAAGGAAGTCTCATCATTCTTTTAAAAACTCCCATTTGCATTACATTTCGAGTAAGTGCAAGCCCTACCGCGACAAATCATGAAAACAAACACAACAGTCATTCCATTCATGGTTCATAAGCTCTACCTTTGTTGCAATTTATACAAAAAATTTCCGATAAACTCACTTTAACCATGAGCCCCTTGGAGTCCATCATGTAGATTCGAGACAGAGCCTGAGCTTCCGAAGCACCCTCATCTTGCATAGCAGCGATGAGAATTCTAGCAATACCAGTCGCAGCCTGGAAGCAAGGAAAAGTCATTATAAGTTCCTGTATGAGAACATTACATGTAATCTTGCTGTAAACTCACAGCACCAGCACCATAAAAGAGGTACTTGTTGTCCATTAAGCGTGTCTTAGTGATACGTGTGGCGGAAATAAGTCCAGACAGAGCGACAGAAGCAGCACCTATATGGTGAAAAAACTAACCCATTAACTGAAGCAGACAATTCGATACACTACTAAATAGATATCTAAACAGGAAGAAGTTGAACAAATTAGTATTTATGTTGGGTGGTAAAAACAGTCTAAGAGCCATTGACGAGAGTAGGACACCAAATTTCTGAGTAACTTCCACAGAGCAAACAATCAGAAATTAAAACGATAATAAGACAAATAAAACAAAGAACATTCTATATGGAGGGCGAGCGCAAAGGAAAACACTGCAAACAACTATTGGTAAACAAACCTGCCGTGCGACGAGATAAAATGAAAAAAAGATGATGATAAGCGATTAAGCGAATTAAGCAGGGTGCGAATAAATTAAATGAAACTGGGTAGAGTACAACTACCTTGGACATCATCATTGAAGACAACGTAGTCGTTTTTGTAACGTTCGAGAAGGTTGAAGCTATTTTTAGTGGCAAAATCTTCAAATTGAATTAAAACGTTGGGACCGTAGCTAAAAAAGCAAGATTTAGATCAAATCAGAATTTCAAAAAAATTAAAAATATTCAAGTGTGCATTTATGGTGATAAGGCTAAAATTGTAAGGCGGTTTAAGAACTTATAATACTTTTTTAAACGAATGCGACTTTATGCAAAGCACCAGTGATTAAATGATAGTGAAAAAATTAAAAGTTTTGACGGTAAATTTCTAAGACGAGATAGGAAATTATTGTACTTTTTAGTAGAATACGACCTTACGCAAAGCACTAATGGTAAATCATAAAAGTACACTTTGGGACTTAAAAATAACAATTTACAGATCGACTAAAGATTCCATAACTTCATCCATAAGTTCGAAGTATTGGTCTTGAGGGACACGCTTTTGGCGAAGACCATTATAGAATTCCGCCTAAAGATCAAGAATTCAACACTTTAAGGTTATTCATCTCGAAATTAAAAATAATGGAGAAGGGAGCTAAACCCACACTCAGAAGAGCCTCATTGTTTGTTCCGATATCAATCGTAATTGGTAGGCAATATCGAGGGTTAACACCACCTAGAGCAGTAAATAGGGCACACTTTCCAATTGGAATGGGCATTCCTTGTGCTCCCAAATCACCGAGACCAAGGATTCTTTCCCCATCAGTCAAGACAACGGCCTTGACACGCTTTTCTGGCCAGTTACGTAGAATACTACGTACGTGACCTTTGTCGTTAGCGGTGATATAAAGACCTCTGTAATTAATAAAACGAACATTAAAATTAAAGAAATAAACAAAACGGGTTATGAAATCAATACGCACCTGGGACGACGGAGAATCGCACCATAGGTTTCAGCAGCTTTTCCGACAGTGGGGGTATAGATGAGAGGAAGAAGATATTCCAAATTGCTAGTGACAACCTTATAAAATAGTTTCTCATTGCGATCTTGAAGAGACATGAGAGTATTGTAACGACTAAGATCATCATCTAGAGCGTATAGATTAGTTAGAACGCTTTGGCATTGCTCTTGCTGCGTCAAAACAGCTGGAGGAAGAAGACCGTGAAGACCAAGAATCTGCCGCTCTCTATGAGAGTACGCCGCACCCTATGATTATTGAGAAAATTAATTAATAATACGCAATCGACTAAATAAATTATAATTTTTTAATGCGTAAGTTAAGCAAGCACTTGTTTCTAAAAAAATACTTAAGGCCATTACTCGTTAAGTACACGAATAACGAAAGAGAATATGAAATACGACTTCACAAAAATAAGTCATTATCTAAAAGGACAAAATTGATTTAAGACGCACAGAAAGCAAATAACTGTCTTGAAAAAAGATAGAATAATGCAAATTAAATGACAAGTCGCAAGATTTCAAATATGATTACACAGAATAAAAAAACATAAGCGTCTTTTTTACTAAAGCTGACTTAATAAAATAAATGCCATACAGTGTATAATACAAGATAATATTAACCTTGTTTGTACCAGGATTTCGTAAAATTTCGATTCCCCTATTTCGAAGTCGAGGAAGCTGCTTAGTCAGACCCTGTACGAACTTGCTCGTCATCTCCGAACCCTTTGAAAACACAAGAAAAAAATGCAACATGAGTTGATTAACTTAAACAAAAATGTACTAAATTGAAGCAAAGTTCATTGATTTGGTTAATCTAAATATAAATTTGTACATGTTTACTTAATTGTATAAATTTTCGATTAAATTGCAACTTGCTAATATTCAGTGTTTTCGATCTATCATTATTGGCCTAATATACAGTGGGCAATATCAGTCTTAATTGCCCATTCATTCCCTTCCCTTTTAGAATTTTATTCATTTTCGGAGTATATCTTTGCAATGGTTCATTTTACAATCTTCAACTAATTTAAGATAATTTAATTACTTTTAAGATTCATTTAAAATTACTAATTGTAGCTCAGTTATTCAATAGAATATAAAAATTTACTAAATGTTTTTAAAGTTTAAATTCAAAATTCACTTTTATACTTATTTTTAAAATATATCTTAAAATATATCGTTATAACTTCCCAATAGGTCTCAAAATCTTTTACATTTTTGAATTAACACCAAGTTAATTAATTAGCAATCTATGGTTCATTTTAAAAATACAGCGATATTCTTTTCTAAATGATGATATGATGGCAATCAAGCCATTATCGCTTTAATCTGGTATTTTTAATTGTGTTTTCTGTTATTATATTTATGATGTAAGATTATGTATTGGCAATTATTAGGAATGATCTCATTTAACTTACATTCTGTTAGAAGGAATATGCTTTACTTAAGCAATTGCCGATAATTCACAAACAACTACCCATAAAATAAACCAATGAATTAGCTATTTTACATTTATTATGCTCTTGAAAATGTACAATGTTAATTGTTATAAAATAAATTTTCAGTAAGTGAAAAACAATGTGCACCTCTAATCTGATGGTATATCTTTCAAGCAGTGTCTATAATATCATTTTAGTTTAACAAGATATTTTTGGGACCAAAGCCACAACCATAGGAATTATGAGATAGGAAATAGGGGAAGGTTAATCTCATATTTATGTTCTCAAGAAATATATAATTAGACAAAATTGTCCTTGGTTAAACTTGACGAGTATGGCTTTAGCTTCTGGATTCAAAAATAGCACAATATACCTTCCTTTGAGGAATAAGATACCAACTATAACCAGATTGATAAAATGTAAGATAAGAAAGCAAGAGATTCGACCTTCGAATCACAAATTCAAGAACGGCACTGTAGGACATTTCTCATTAAAGCAGATAAAAAGCTGCATGAGATTATTTAGTGCGAATAAAGCAAAACTTTCACAATAGTTATCGAATTCAATAGAAAAGCAAATTACCTAATTTACAAAATTTAAAAGATCTTTCTAAGTTATTTTTAATTGTCGTCTCAATGCTAGCACTAAATAAATTGCGTGCAGACCTAAACTCACTTATCAGCAAACAGGAGGAAGAAAAGTACATATTTCGAGCTAAGTATTTAAGAAGTAACTAGCTTTCAGATTTCTTCCGACTTACAGATAAACTTCCCACATTCCACTAATATAACGTGTTCCAACTTAACAAGCTAAAAGTTGCTATTGTCTTCAAGAAAACAAGGGAAACATGCTACCGTAATGTCTGCAATTTAGTGTAAAATAGAGTTTAGTTTAAGAGGCCAAAATTTCATTTTCTTCCTAAGAATTCTCTTCTTGCTTGGTCAATTCTTTTAATCTTTTTAATGTTTACTAAAATGCTTTCAAAATGTATTGTGAAGTTATATTATTATTTTTAAAACGACGTGTTACTATCAAAGGTCAGTTAGAGTAAAACATGTATTATCTATGAGAACACCTGATGATTTCCACTTCATTTACATGCAGCTTTAAAACAAAAAATTGTGTATCAGGAAAAAACTAATTTGATCAGGTTACATTTAATAAGACATGATGAAATCAATCAGGATTAGTTGGGATAATTCTTTAATATGAGGAGTCTCTAAATTGATTAAAAAAAATTTTTTGCGTGGTGACTTCTTTTGTGCTTTTATACTTATTATTTAACACAAATTATAGTAAAACTTGGTTAATGGATCTCCAGGAGACTAAAACTCGTTGTCTTCAGAAAATGTACACTTTGTTGTCAATCACAATGGTTCAAATTATACTGAATGCTACTCTATTAAATAGTTCGGATAATGATTTTTTCTGTATTATATGCTTCCGAGAACTGGTCACAATTTTATCTTACTCATATCCATCTACACTTATTAATTTCACATTAAATGTGAATCTAATAACCGATAGGCATGCATTAAGAATCCAACCTCTGCTCAAAATAAACGAAGTGTAGGATTAACTTTTATTGAATAAAATAACGAAATTATTCTCATTTTTTGCCTTATTGGTCGTTTTCGGATGGGATTAATTTTTGTGGTTGAATTTACGTTGCTTTATATAAAAAACGGCAGATTAACTTTTTAAAAGGTCACCACGAAGAGTAGCATGCTATTAGATATAATTATATAAGTCTAATTAAAAAAGGTTTCTCTTTTCCAACTAAATATATCAAGTTTTGATTTGAATTCAGGTATATATAAAGCTCAATATAAACATCATTATACCTCATGGAGAAAAAATATATTTCCAACTAAAAGGCATTCAAAATTAAAGTTTCAAGAAAAATCAAGTCAGGATAGAAATATATTTTGATTTGCCGCAGATAAATTAAATACATTCACCAATCCAACTTTGTTCTGACCAATCACCGCCAGGACCATTTGCTGAATGAGTGCTGCGAAGGACGACCCTTGTGCCGAGGTTTGCTGTGGCGCTTTTGATGATTTATTTTTTAGCAAAGAGAATTGGCAGAAAAGTGTCTAAGTTCATTCTCCATTTTTAAGAATTGTCGTAAATACGTAATCAACCATCAACTGTGTAGGGAGTTTTGGGTAAGTACTCTAACTTCTATTTAGTTCCTTTTCTCGAAGGCTAAAGTTAAAAAGGAAAGAAAAGAAGGGGGAATAGAACCAATTCTTCCTCCAATAGAGGAAAGAGAGAAGATTCTTGAAAAAGCCTTTGGATCATAATGGCCCCCCTAAAGGATTTCTTCATTAGAACATTTCCCATAGCTGGTTGTATGGTAATAGCCGCTTATTTTATTGGTTTGACGAAAGAACGTTATCGCCGTCTTAAAAAAGGATATAGTTATAGTGAACCGATTGAAGATGCCAAATTGTACAGTTTTTTGTCAAAATCAGGGAAGAAAATAGACATTAACAACTGGGAAATGAAACGCGTTTACAGAAAGGAAGAGGATACTTCAGGAAAGGCGTGAATCAGAAAATCATCGTGCAACCACCCCCCCCCCTTCTCCACCCCACCAATCACCATTGTAAATAAATGCTATGCAAAATAAAAGCTTTTTGTGGATGTTTATTTACTACATATTGGAATTTCACACTGGCAGGCGGCGGGTTCTATTGTTCACGCTTGAGGTAGTTTTGGTATTCCTCCTTTGTCATCAACTCATCAATTTCGTTGGGAGATGTAAGTTTCATTTTCACAAGCCATCCTACATTAAGTGACAAGTCAGTATTCATGTAAATAGATTACCGTCACTTTCAGGATCTCTGTTAAGAACTCGAAGATTTTCAGCGAGCGACTGGTTTATCGCTTCAACTTTACCACTAACTGGCGAGGAAATGTCGGAGGCAGCCTTTGTAGATTCAACATTACCGATGATGTCTAGCAGGTGCGTTAGGGGCATGATAAAAAGTTACCTCCTTTCTTAAAAGTTTCGCCAAGGCTAGGGAGCTTCAGGTACATTATATCACCATAAAGATCTGCGGCTGTCTTTGTGATACCGACTGTTGCTACTTTATCGTCACGACGAACCCATGCGTGTTCGTCAGTATACCTGACGTCTGGAAAGAGCAAGCGGATTAAAAGATTTTAAAGCAAATTTAGTTTGTCCACGAGAGCTTATTAATTAAAAAAAAACAGAGAAACAGAAGGGACAAAATAAAATACCGCTGATAAATCTAGTCTGAGTTGCTGAGGTGTTAATCACCCGAAGAAGAGGGAAAGCTTGTTTTAGAAAAGCAGAACGCAAAATTGCCATAGAACAGACTGTTTCCATAAATGTCTGATGGTAAATTTGTCAACCAAGGATAATACTTTAAATATGGCAAAATACCATTCAGTTTACTGTATATTCATGCAAGCTATTTGCTATTACATGAATAATAATAATTTTAAATATGTATAATAAACAACAAGTTAACAAAAGAATCAAAGCAATTGATCAATTTATATTCATCGAACAAACTTGTAAAGTTTTATTTTGTCAAATATTTTTTTATTTGCAAAGGCATGACTGAAGGCTATTTTATTTTGAGACATGTTATTTGATTAAATAAAAATAATTACATCAATCAACCTTGACCTTGAGAATATATGGACTCTTTATTGTAATTGGATCAAAATTTCTATCAAAGGTCTAACAATATTTCGCAAACTTCAATGAATTCTCGTTATAACGACTTATCTCTCTGTGCTTCTGGTATAGGATGTAGGGTAGTTCGAGGACCAGATTGGAAATGGGGAAATCAGGTATTTAATTTAATCGCTTAGTATATGTCTTTCAAGGATGGTGGAAATGGTCATGTTGGTTCCCTTCGGCGTTTTGAAGCTCGCGGTGAAGCGGTTGTGTTGTGGGACAGTGGTATTGTTGCAAATTATCGTTGTGGCGCACTTGGTTTTGATTTGCGAGTTCTCGATAGCTCTCCAACAGGTAGGCGCCATTTGGATACCATCTGTGAAGGATGTAACGAGTCTCCAATCTATGGCATTCGGTGGAAATGTATGCTCTGTCTTAATGTTGATCTCTGCTCTTCTTGCTATCATGGCGATAAGCACTGTCTCAGTCACCCTTTTCTTAGAATAACTACACCACATGGAGTCAGGTTTGTAAAATGAGCTTTTAAACTTTTCTTTCAAAATTGATTGTCTTTTCTAATTTACTTTTTTATACTTTCATGGTTAGGCTTTTAACTTCATAAAATTCATTTTTGCTAATAATGGGCTCGTTTCCATTTTATTTAAATGTTTTACAGGTTCACCGTTTGAAGACTCAGAATAGGGTCTTATTTTCACGAAGTGTGCTAGACTTTTTTGTTATTGTGCTCTATGATTGCGTTAATTTGTTTAGCTGTTTTTTTCTCTTCAGAAGTTCAAAGGCATTTAGAATAATTCTGAATATGTTACTGTGGTGCTCTAAGACCTTGTGTTAACCACGCTCAAGGAGAATATGGGCTTGACATTAATCAGCATAGGTAGATTTCTTAATTCTGATATACTTCGTAAGACAGTTTTAAAATGTCAATATAATGCGAATTTTATGCCTTATTTTAAGGGAACATTTTGTACCTCAATTTGTGAGATTCGTAATTATTATTAATTTACAGGCATTATGTTAGCGTTAATCATTACCAGGTTGTTAACCCAATTTCAGAGCTCTTTATTGATTTATCCATTAGTATGTTGAAGGATATAGAATATAATTAAACTAAATATTACATTAAATATTAACTATTTTATTAGGATGTCAAAAATAGTGTGGGTACATAATTGTAAAGCACACGCACATTTGTTACATATTTTGTAGAGTTGCCGTAGGCCGACGGTCCAAGGCTCAGAAGACTGATGCAGTTGGTCTCTTTCCTCGAGCCCGCGTCGTACGGGGTTTTGATTGGCGCTGGGGAACACAGGATTGTGCGACTGTCGTTCCAGCGACTAATGTCAATTCTGCAGGTTCAGGAACTTCTCTCACCAATACACTGATTCCCCAGACAACCACCACAGGCTCCTCTCTCACCAATGCGGCAACTGAAACTGCCACTCCATGCCAGGGGCGTATTGTTGATCGTAGAGACTGGTTTCAATGGGCTCCCAAATCGGCTGTATCGGTGGCGTGGGATTCTGGTGCTTATAATGTTTATCGTGTTGGATATATGGGCATGGTGGATCTCAAGGCTGTTAGACCAGCTAAAGGTAAAATTTCAATCATTCCATCTTCTCACATTCCATTCTCAGCTTTTATACTTTACCTTTAAATGCATTTCCTGATTGCCATGTCCCAAACCGGAGTTCTGTGTCATTCGATTTTCGATTTTATGGGACAATTCTGATTAATAGCAACTTTATTGTTTTGTGTGATTGTCAAGTCTGCGATAGAACTAATGAAATCGAAATATTTTTGTTTTAGTTTCGAAATTTAAATTTTTAAAATAAAATCGTTACCTGTATTGATACACAGGCTCTCTGAGCTCAAGTTCGTACCTCTTGGCACGTGTTGGACGATCTAATTGGTTGTTGGGTTCAGAGTATTAGTGAATACTAAGAAGAGAAATTTGACACTGAAATCAGTTCTTGTAGAGTTGAGCATTCAGATCTAGACTTTGTTTCCATTTTTGAGTTGTCTGAATAACGTTCTGGCAGTTGCATTTGGTTATTTGACTCCAGGGAGTAACATTGGTGATACAATCACCACAAAATTCATCTGTGGCCATTAATTTCATCGCCATTTAATCGCAGTAAGAAGTAGGTCGCTGAGATTTGCAGAAATTTGTTAGAGTGCATTCAAGGTGACCTCTATTTCCCTAAGTGACGAATTTTCATAAATCTTGCAAAGTTGTATGCTTTTTAACTCACCACTGTCTTATGTTATAGCAGTACTAATATTTAACTAGCCAATGCTTAAAAAAATAAAGTTGTAGCATGAAATAAGTATTAGTTAAAAAATTTCAACAAATTGGAAGCTTACTGATCTGTGACGGCTATCACATCTGTACTACTTGAACACCACGCAAGACCCTACGTTACTCTTTTAAAATAAGCTCAATTGGTACTAGACTCGTAACAGAAGGTCCTCTATTGTTCAATACGTCTCTATAGCCTTCGCCTAAAACCACCAAAACCCCCTCACGTCAGCGCCATCAGTCTGCTGTGGGACACGTGTGAGTGCGGTTGGGTACATTTTTCCAAAAAAAATAATTCGGGTGTTAAAGGCTAAAACTGTATTATCAAAGATCAGTGCACCTTCTTAACCCTAGAAAGGTATATTTTTCGTTTATCTTTTTCATTTAACTTACTGAAGCTATAGATAAACAGCGAATTGAAAAGTTTACTCAGTGAGTGCTTAGTAAATATTCATTTAACAAAATATTTAGCTCTGTGTCCGAATTGCGACAAATACGGTTATGTAAAACTACATGTTTTTGTATTGTTTCCAAACATTGAAACTTTGGCAAATTTGAGTTTTCAACATGTCTGAACCATTCTGATTGTATTTCCACTCCCATAATTCGGAAAAAAGGTGTTTGCATGCGCTTATGCATTGGTAGAGGCTATTTTACCCGTATTTCCTATCGAATTGTTTCTGTGTAGATTTCAACTTGCTTAATTGAAGTGGATTAACTGGGAGTCCAACAGACTGTGAATGAGATGGAGATCGAAGGGTTGGTGGTGGTGGAGATACCTAAAACTTTTAGGTACTTGTGCTAGAAGCACTGACTGTCAATTCTGTTAGTCTAATGACGGGTAGAGCAACGCTTAGTAAAATTTGGCTTTCCATTTGGTTCCCTGAGGTTTCAGCTTTAATGAAAATCGAAAAAAAGAAGATGGGCACTTGTTGATACTGTTACCGGGTCATTTTCAAGTATTTATTTATTTCAAATGGCGTTCTTTATGATATTTATCATTAGCCCTTTGGCTGACTTCGAGTTTCAACGTAGGGAGGAACATCAAAATGAGAAAAAAGTGGAGTGGGGAACAGAAGAGTGATTCGAAGATGGAGAAGGGGCAGACAGACACAAAGGCAGTGTAAAGGTAAGATGAGTACTGCGAAAGGGGTCGAATATGACGTACAGTCGGGTCATGGTTTGTTTGAAGTCAGAAGTCAACTGCCAGTTAATAGACTTTTTGCCGTATGAGAATATGTTGCCCAGGGTGCACCACGTGGAGGTAAGTCTATCGCACACCCCATTTTCAAGCATAATACATGCTCTCAAAAATCGTAAATGAAAAAAGTTACAAATTTTTATTGAAGGCATCAAAGGCCTGGGTTTTGCTGCCCTTATTGAACGGTTTAAAATGTGCACACCAGAAACAGTGTAAAATTTGCCTCATCCTCGTGAAAATTACAGAATTTACGCTGCTCGTCGTCACGTTAACCAAAGTTTAGAGATTTAGAGGTTTTGATGCATCCACCCTACTCTAGTTGAAACCCCACACCACCAATCCAAGAAAATCTGTGTTTGATTATTTACCTTTTGTTGTTGAAAATGCTCAAATCGGCTGTCAATCGATAATTACTTCTTATGCATCCCAGCCGGTTGGGGAATTGAATATTACATTTATGCAAAACCTCGCCAATTTTGAATTACATTTACAGTTTTCAAACGCCAAAGATGGCAGTGGTGTAGAACGCTTTCTTTTAGGCTACCAGGCAGAGGTTAATTGTTGATTCATTGCTTTAGGAGGTTCATACTATGCCGAGCACCTACCACTTCTGGGTGACCTACGCGATTTGCCCTCCCAGTTGGAAATGGAAATCAATACACCTTCAGCATCCATCGCTATTCCCCAAGTGCCTTCTCAACCGACCGATAACATTGTTTGGACAGCTCCACCTCGAAATCGCAATCAACACGCTCACACGGAGGCCTATGAAGACTCCGGCATTATTGACTCAGGGGATCGGATCCCTTTGACAGATGCAGAAGGAGGTGCCCGACCCAGCTCGGTTCCGATCCAACGTCCGCGAGCCAGTGGTGGTGGAACGAATTCAAATACCCGAACACTTCTCTCCGATCTCTTCTGTGCTGGAGGGGGTGGAGGGGCATCGGCAACTTCGGAGGATGGAATTGTACCTTCTGCCGCAAGTTCACCACCTGTTATTACATCTAGGCCCTCTACGACAGTTCGAAATAGGACTCAGTCTGGACTGTCACCCGGATATCGTTCGTCTGCTTTGAGACTTAGGCCGGGAGCGGTTATACAACTTAGATTGAGATCGATGGTGAATGAAAATGCTATTGCAACGGCCACTGCGCCTGGATCTGAGGTAATTCCTCTATAGTTGCATAATGGTTTCGAAATACTGCGCTACGGTCTTGACAACCAGGTTAATAAAGAATGGTTATGGTGAAGCATTTTCTCAACAACCTCCTTCTTTCGATATGAATCGGATGGTCTAATCCGCAAAATGAAACTAACTTTCAATTCTTTATTGGACTTGAAATTTGATTTATCCCAAGAAGTAGTTTAGGACCAATAATATTTTACAGAAGTGCGATATTTTCGCAATTCTCTTACAGTGTCGGTAGGATAGTAATCATCATGATGCCTGTCCGTCAAATCTTCTTTAAGGAATACTTCATTTTTTCCAGAGTACCAATGAGATATTCTCTTTGGAATCGTCAACTGTTTCCAATGTGTGATAGTGCCTAAGCGGTGTGAATTTTTGAGTACTGAAATTGTGCTTTTAACGCCCACTATATCGAACTGATCATTCTTTAATTTTTTGAAAATAAATTTTACTTTAAATAGTGATTCATCCCACCAACTGCACGTTTTGCCAGCTTAGTGTCCTGGGAATTTTCAGAAGGAGATTTTATGGTGAGTGCGTAGAATAAGTCACAAAGTTCATTCTCGCCATTGATTTCGCGAATGGAATGCCAATGATTTAATGATAGTCAAATTTGCACTCATTTGGTCTGCGTGCTATCAATGGCATTCTTATTCGTTTGCGAGGTGGCAAGCTTAGTCTACTCTCAATTGTTTGGTGGCCGTCAAGTATTCTTGTAGTCAGTAATCTGTGTCAACAACCTATCATTAACATTAATTAGTGTGTTTTTAAACCTTGTCTACACGAATAGCCCGGGTTCGTGTGGGCCGGCTACTAGTCTAACAACCATTTCCATTGTGTGGTTCATTCAAGCACACACAAATATGCGTCCGAAACAACTCTGATTTTTCTAAAACAAGTTTCTTTGTCTATTTCTATTAGAATTAATTAGAAATAATTGCAAAGCATAGTACGTTACTGGTAAAATATCTCCTAATTTTATTGCCACTCAATGCCCACTGTGCTCAAATCATGGGTTAGAAGATCGGATTAAACATTTCATTCATTAAAATACTACGATACGGGTCTATAAGACACTATTTTGCTGTCGTATTGAGCTGCGATGAAGAAATTAAAAACTTTCAATTTAACCTCCTGATGGGTAAAAAATCGGTAACCAACAGATGACCATGAATTTAATGAACGCGTGGGGGCATATAAGTTCTAATCTGCCACCTCAATGTTTTCTTTCTTCAAGAACTCTCCTCCATCAAACTTATGCTTGTCCGATCCGATCCACTGTTCTAAATTATCGGATTATTAGATTTCAATGAATGCCGGCTTGATGTATTTTGAATGGCGTTGTATTTAAATTATGTATTCAATCTTGAAAGTTTAGTCACTCGAATGTACTCTATTTATTAATTCATTGAATTACAGTATCTCTCACTGCCGAGTGTGGTTGAACGTGTGGACGATAGTAATGGGTCGGTAGTTCTCTTAATTCCTCAAACAGGCCAACGGTTCACTCTGACGAGTTCAGCTACAGCCAATTGTCAACACCAGCAGCCAGCTTCAGAACGTATGGTTTCTCGTCATGCTTCAGCCAACACCTCCCTTCTCACTCGAATGCGCCGCCGTGATTCTTATGCAAGAGCAGCAGCAGCTGCTGCTGCCACTTCTACTGGTTGCGAAGGTATTGCAACTGTTGGCGAGACAGGTCTGGTCGAAAATCAACAGTCTCAGGAAACTTCGACGCAGCCTAGTAATCAGCAAGATGGTCATGGTTAGTAAATTCCTTTTACTTAAACCATATGAGTAGTATTGTGTTAACATGAATGATTTATTGTTTCAGAATCATCTATTAGTAGAAGCCTTTTGAAACAATCTACTAAACAAGTGGCAGAAGAACTGATGTTCGCTGCAGCAGAGGGAAATGTTAAGAAAATCACCTGGCTTATTAAACATCGGGAGATCGACGTATGCTTACAATTTTAATTGAATTTATTTATGTCTACTGAACGTATATAAGTAGTATATTGATGTTTGTTTTAGGTGAACACACATTATGCGGGAGCTACAGCTCTTCACGTTGCTTGTCAATCAGGACATCTCAATTGTGTGGATGTTTTACTACAGCACGGAGCAGATTGTCGTGAACGAGATGCCGATGGTAACCAAGCCCTTCACGCTGCAGCTCAAGGTGGTGCACTTCCAGTACTTCGCCGTATTGCTGCCACATTGAGCCTTCTCGTAGAGCGCGAGCCCCAGCCATCGAGTTCAAATTCAACTGCACCTCAAGAATTAACACTGCCACCAGACGTAAATGCCCGAAATGCTCTTCGACAAACTCCACTGCACCTGGCTACTGTGGGTCGTCATATCGATTGCGCTCGTTCACTACTAGAAGAATTTAATGCTCTTCCCAGTTTGCAGGTTAGTTTACCCATCTGACCTTTAATTGACCCATCAGAAGTTGAAGGAAACTCCATTATATTGCTATTAATAAATTACGCCTTATCTAGGCATCTCTCTACTTTAGCTTTTTATTATCCTCTGCCATACACCAGTTTCAGAATGTTTAATACTGATGCTATCTTGCCACGTATTATGCTCGCATTTTATAATGCCGAATACGCGTAGATATTTTTACACCAATTCGTAAACTGTGTTCATCTCAGTACAATTTAATAAGGAATGCAATTTAGAATGTGACAAAAAAGACATCGCATTATTCTAAGATGCTTATTCAATCATTTCTTGGTTAAGTCTTATTGCTTCCTTTCTTATTAAGGGTCATTTCTAAAGATCCATTTTTATTTTTTGCTGTTGTGAGCAAATAACTTTGTGAGGATCATTTTTCGCACTTTGAATGGATCGACCACTCTATTTTACTTAAATTGCTCGCAAATTGGCGAGATATTAAATCCTTTAGCGCCCAAATTTTTTTCGAAATTCACCTGGCCGCACTCACACACGTTCGACGCGATGAGTTCCGGTGGTATGAGGTGAAGGCTATGGACGTATTGAACGAGTCTAGTATCAATTGAGATTATTTTGAAAGAGGACATACGGTCCTGCTTGACATTAATGGATCAAGAAGGGAAACTCTAATGAACTCAAATTATGTTTGGGTTAAACTAAATTTCACGCTCTTTCCTCCTTTATTATACTTAAGCAATAAAAGAAAATGAATACCAGAAAAAGTAATATAACTGGCTCAGTACTCACTAACAGAGTTCACAGGATCGGTATTTGATAAAGTGCAATCAGCATTAATTAAAGTAGCTTTTGGTTGATCTAGATCAGATAGCAGTTTGCCCATTAAAGAGGTCGCGCTTAAGATGACCACAAAACAACCTGCTTCTTCATGCCAAATATTGAAAAAAAAATCAGTTGTTTATGGAATCAGTTTAAATTGAATATTTTTACTTAATGCTTTAAATTAAAAGGTCAAATAACCTTCTAGAATGCGTGAAGCGAAATTCATCAATTTTCAGATAACTTAATTGCACATTTGAGAGTCTTAATACGTCACTGAAATCGGCTAGTTTAATATGAGTCGTCTGTGATATCTTGAAATCTTTCGATACTCACTTACATTTGGTCAGGAGTTTTATGCCTCAAAGAGAGACTGGTAGATATTTTTTGGCTGGTAACTTTTTATTGCCTTTTGTATTCCGTATATTTTTTATGATAAAATTTCCATTCCATGCCCAAAATGTGTGTCGGGGGGTGGGGGGTGGGGGGGGGGGCATTTCCGTCTTCGTGTCACCAGTATTAGGAAAGGGGGGGGGGGAAAAAGAGGGTGGCTGAAATTCCAAATTTTAACTGTCTGAAAAATTTGTCTTAGAGCTCCAGTGAGAATAGTTTTTTTTTCCCGCTACTCATTTAAAGTTTTTGGAATGCAATTTTCGTTTCCTGTTTTCCAATTACCTACATTTCCGAGGAAGACTTGAATTCTCCTCAACTCGAATGTTTGTGTTCTCTGGTCTTGTGGGGATGCATGCTCTTCTGAAATTTGTGAATCCAGATACGCAAATAACCCACTGTGTGATGAAGAGACGATTTCAATGTAAACTCAGTTTGCCGATTAGATGCCAAATATTTCAACTCAAATGGGCTTAGAGAAGACAAATATATAGAGAGAGAGTTATTGCTCTATTTTAAAATCAGAGAAATTGGCAGCATACTAATCAAGTGCCAGAATGAAGACCCCAAACAGGAAGAAAGTAAAGCATGACAATTTGATGGTTGATCATGTCACTTTAATTTATTTCTTATCTTCTCTCAGTCTTGAGAAGATATATGTGCACAGCAAATACTTTCTAAGCAGAAGAGAGGCTATTAAATTTCACTTAATGTGAATTATGTCCAGTTCTGTCAAGCAATTCGGGAGAAAATGCCCAACCACACCGGAAACCAAGCTCTTCTGCAATGTAGCCTGTTAAATTTAGGAATAGACACGCGATGTAAATAAATCGATTGTGGCAAAACTAATTGAAATTGACTTACCTAAGTGTTTTTGACAAGTACGCGGGACAAGTCATAGCGAATAATATTCATTCTTTTCTGAAAAATGAACCGAGGAGATATATCAATGGCACTTTATTTTCCAGCCGAGTTATCAATTGCTATTAAATTCCTGCACAAGTGAGATGTCAACTTAAAGTATCCACTGAAAACAGCCTCTACTTAAGAGACAAATGGTATACTCATCAAAGTATAGAGACTCGATTGCGTTTAACATTAGTCAAAGTGATTCTCCTTTTACCACTTGAGGGTGGAGAGTGAAGGAACAAGGGGGCACATTCAATGCGGCGGCTCTGATGAGTCATTGCCAGTGCATGTCGAGAGAAACTTGTTGATCGATATAGATAGATGTAGACGAAATGCACTGATTGCACTTTGTATACTCTAACATCCAAAGTTCTTCTTTAAAGTAACTCTCATATTTACGGTTTTGCTTGAATCACCCAATTTTTCCGACCCTGATTTAATGTACCTTCGTTCTCTATTTACTCACGCGTGTAGTCATAGGTATTAAACACTCTTTTCTTTAGGTTGAGTAGATAAACTTTGTCTTGGAATTGGGCTACGCCCGGCCACCCGCATAGGAAATATAAATTTGAGGGGGGGGGGGGG